AAATCCAACGTTACTTGTATTCACAGACGCTATTGTTTTTTCTCAGCTGCTAGATTTCCATGTAATGATAGTTAAGTGCAGATGTGCATAGCAAGCATAGCAACAAGGCTTCAGTAGTGTGGTGCTGACATACCTTTTTGATCTTTACTGTGGTAGTTGTTAGGATACAATTCCAGACTGGTTCCATAAACATTACATGACACACTACTTATTTACGCGGTGGGTTCCAGAGAAATTTTTTGGTGCTACCAGAAAAAAACTACTGCACAGCAGCGACGTAGATACTCACCAGTATGACGTCACCTGGAAGCATATCATTTCTACTTCCCAGACATGAGGTGGAATCGGGCAATGATGTACTCTGAGTTGCTCATGCATATTATGAGATGTTGTAATCTATTCTACTTCTTACCGGTAGGTATAAGTTCATGTACATAACCAAATGACCACTGTTTACAGGCACACAGATGCCAATAGCACTATTCATCATGCAGCAAGTACTGGGCATTACCAACCATACTCAGTCAAAACCCAACACTGTTACTGCATCTGTACAGTACTCATCCTGTCATAACCCAACACTTCGTGTAGTAAGTTTCATATGTTCACAGAACTCAACTCATCAATTTCAACAAACTCTGTTGTAAATTGATGGGATGGAAAACTTTAAGATTAATCCTGTTCACAGGTTTTGAGGTTCTTGTAGACACGGACAAGACTTCAAGTTGTACTTTTGCTTTCTCCTGTCTGGCATTGTGGCTGATAGAAAACATTTCTTTTTTATTTCAGTTCTCCAACACCTATCTCAGTGGAGCCTTTAGAGCAGCGTGACGAGGAAGATGGACTTCCAGAAAAAAACATTCCCAAGAATCAAGCCTACCATCATGAGAGAGAAAACCCACCACGATTCGCTTCCCCTGGATCATTTGAGTTTAAGTGGGGAAATAGGTAATTATTTTCAAATTTAGCTGATAGTTGTGTATGTATAATGTCTTTGCAAAAAGGTTGCCATGGTTTGGCCAATGCAGCCACTGCAGTCTGGCTGGGTAATACCAAGGATAGTCCAAACATGGTTCAGTGAACTTAAATCATTCAAGCAAAGGTTAGTTAATGAGGTAGACATGGCTTTTGTTTGCTACTACCAAGATGAGTGAGGACAAGGATCAAAAGTATTTTTCGCTGTCCAACGCAAGCGCACAGGAGGAGCGTGCCCATTTTTCTAAATCCCCCAGTACTCCTGCTTTCACACAGGCCTCATTAAGAACTCAGGATTATGCCCAAAACTGCATAATAATAGCTCAAACATTCACGTTTGATGCCCTCCAGACGTCAATACGATTGATCTGTGTGGCAAATGACAATGGCAAATGGAAACCCCACATTTTAATATCCTATTAAAGAAACGCTGGCCCAAGGGAGTCTCAGAAGATGGTCATAATAGGCCTGTGTAAAATTTTTGTTTTCCATCTCTTACAGGTGACGTATAACCACTTGCTGCCGGGTGCTTTTTTTAACCGTTACATGCGCTGCCGGGGTGGTTTTTTCATATTTTCGTTTTTCAAAAATCTTCAAAAATTCATATCTTTTTTCTGAACACCTAAACCCCATAAAATGGGTGTCCCGTGGCGAGTCTAGCCCTCACAAGCAACCTCCATTGACCCTTCGGTTTTGCAGCCACGCCGTCAGCTCTATGTAGAGCCCCCATTGTGTGCGTTACATAAGGGCTCGTTTGTTCCGGGCCTTGGCCCAGTGCGTTGCTATGCTGCCGTGTTGCTATGCGGAGCGATTGACGGTCAAGACCTCAGCGTGTAATATGCATTGAGTGAATGGGAAGCTGTGCACGTGCACTGGGCTTGAGTGAATGGGAAGCTGTGCACGTGCACTGGGCTTGAGTGAATGAGAAGCT